AAGTTCATTATGTTCTTTCAGTTTTTTATATGTTTGAAATTTTTATAATTATTTATTTTTTATTGAATTTATCAGGTGACTTTGGTTAATAAAACTACATGTAAGTTTCAGGAAGAGAACTTCTGGTCAAAGTGGAAGTGTAGGTAGACACACTTTGCTTCCTCGCACAAGCACAAGAAGAATCACAACTAACTCTAAAACAAAAAAAAATACCCAAAACTGCCAGAAAATCAAACTGTATGGAAGTCTAACAACAAAGGATTTAAAGAAGCCATATTCATCCAGATGGGCAGGAGGGGCAGAGACAGGGAGTCAGGGCAGAGAGAATGTAGTGTGGCACAGAGAAGCAGCGGTGGTGGCAGTGGAATGGGTGGTCCAAAATGTGTGGTGGATAAAAATCAGGAGCGATACCTTGGGAGCAAGTGATCCCAGTCCCAGACCAGACAGCGCAGCCCAGGGTTCCAGTGTCAGGAAGAGAAAGCCTCATAACTTATGGCTGGAAAAACCAGTAAGGGTTGGGCAGCAGAAGAAACTACAGGTTACTCAGGAGAGTCTGTTCAAGGTGCCCAGTTTTAAAATTCATGCAAACCCACACACTCTGGTATTCAACACTAGGGCAACAGCTGGAAGGATGCATAAAGGGGGTGGGTAAAGTGACTGGAATATGGAGAGTGCCAGAGAAGCCTACAGAAGCCAGGCAGCAGCACTGTCCCCTCTCTGACCCCTCCCGCTGCCACAGCACCAGAAAGGAGTGAAGCGTGTTGCTCTGCCCTGGCAAATACCTAAGGCTCCGCCCCATACAATTTAACAGGTACACTAAGGTAGGGGGTCAAAGCAGCTCTACTTAATACACAGAAACAAACACAGGGAGGCTGTCAAATTGAGGAGACAAAGAAATATGGCCCAAATTACAGAACAGAAGTCCAGAAAAGAATTAAATAATATGGTGATAGCCAACCTATCAGATGCAGAGTTCAAAACATTGGTGATCAGGATGCTCAGAGAAATCATTGAGTATAGCAAAGACATAAGGGAAGAAGTGAAAGAACCATTAAGTGAAATAAAGAAAAATCCACAGGGAACCAACAGTGAAGGGAAGGACATCAGGATTCAAACCAATGGTTTGGAACATAAGGAAGAAATAAGCATTCAACCAGAACAGAATGAAGAAACAAGAATTCAAAGAAGTGAGGAGAGTATAAGAAGACTCTGGGACATCTCCAAAAGTGCGAACATCTGAATCATAGGGATGCCATAAGGAGAAGAGGAGGAGCAAGAAATTGAAAACTTATTTGAAAAAATAATGAAAGAAAACTTCCCTGATTTGGCAAAGGAAATAGACATCCAGGAAGCACAGAGTCTCAAGTGAGTTGGACCCAAAGAGGACCACACCAAGTCATATCATAATTAAAATGCCAAAGGTTAAAGATAAAGACAGAATTTTAAAAGCAGCAAGAGAAAAGCAGAGTTACCTACAAAGGAGTTCCCATAAGACTGTCAGCTGATTTCTCAAAAGAAATTTTGCAGGCTAGAAGAGACTGGCAAGAAGTATTCAAAGTGATGAAAAGTAAAGACCTACAACCAAGATTATTCTATCCAGCAAAGTTATCATTTAGAATGGAAGGGCAGATAAAGTACTTCCCAGACAAGGTAAAGCTAAAGGAATATGTCATCACCAAGCCAGTATTATATGAAATGCTAAAGGGACTTATTTAAGAAAACAAAGAGGATCAAAACATTATGAACATTAAAATGCTAACAAACTCACAAGTATCAAAATCTAACTGCATCTAAAAAAACAAAAACAAACTAAGCAAACAACTAGAACAGGAACAAAGTCATAGATATGGAGATCACTTGGAGGGTTATCAGCTGGGAGTGGGGATAATGGGGGAAAAGGTACAGGGATTAAGAAGCATAATTGGTAGGTACAAAATAGACATGGGGATGTAAAGAATAATATAGGAAATGGAGTAGGCAAAGAACGTACATGCGTGACCCATCGACATACTAAGAGGGGAGATTGCTGGAGGGAAGAGGAGTACCAGGCAGAGGGGTGCAAAGGGGAAAAATTCCGACAACTCTAATAATGTAATCAATAATATATACTTAAAAAAATAAGTTTCACGTATAAAATTCTACAACACATCACCTGAATATTGTAATGTGTGTTTACTATCTGAAGTCAAGTCTCCTATCATTATTGAAATGTTTTATAATTTAAAAAATACAAATAATATTAGGAATTTGTTGAAGCTTCTTGATTGTGACTTCTCTACTCAAGATTATCCCATGCTCCCAATCATCTCACTAAGAATGGCCTACAATGTCGTACATAAAATGCCCCATAACACCCAAAATCCTTTGACCTATCTCCTTCTACTCCTCCTTCCCTCCATCACATGGCCACCTTGTTGTTCCTGGATCACTCAAGACATGTTCCTACATCAAGGTCTCTGGTGTTGCCTTGATCCTTTTCTCCTTGCTAAAATGTGCCTTCTCAGTGGGGATAATTCTGACATCTTGTTTAGAATGGAAATTCCCTCCAACCTCCCCCATGTCTCTTCCTTTCCTTTATTTTTCTTATACTTATCACCTTCCATAACAGTATATAATTTACTTTGATATTGCTCATTGTTTATATTTTTCTATCAGTACAGGCTCCCTGAACTTTTTTATACCACAATCCCTTTTGCAAAATTGTATAAACTTTCTCTCAAAATACAGCTTAAAGTGACTTAAAATGCATAAAAGAGAATGTACAGAACTGCACAGGAAATAAATTATATTGAAATATAGGTATCAAAATATTTTTGAAAACATATTTTGGATATAATATATATGGTTTTTTACTCTTCAATAAGCTTCAACAACTCTAATAGTCAGTATAACCTAGAGATATCTACAACTGTAATGTGATAATACTGTATGCGATTTCCTAAATGGTGAAAAGTTCCACAGATACTACTATCTTGAAGTTTATTGCCTATATTGGAGGGAATGCTAAATTGCACTCAGATGTTAGTGAACAAAACATGTACTTTTTTCCCCACTTCATCCAAATGCACAAACAGCCCCTGAATTCTATTGGCCTATGAGTTCAAAAGAACTCCTAATCTAGTATGTACACTGAATGGAGGAATGAATTATTTTGTTTGTTTTTTGTTCCTTGCTATATCCTAAAACATCATTTAAAAAGTCCCTGTCACACAGTAGGCTCTCAACAAATATTGCCATCCACGCAATGAGTTTATTCTTGCTTGGTAAACTTAAGATGACAGAAGAGAATCTGATCAATAGCTCAGTCAATATCTGGTATTAATGACACTCTGAGAGTGACACTGAGGTTTAAAGACCTGTACTGTATTTGTCACATACCATCATTCTACAACACAAGCCAATTATTTTCTGACACTCAACCAAAGAAACAATGATATTCTAAGACACTTTTCTTTTACTGTTAAAACTCTGTGTAAGTCTGCAATGTGTTGTCTTCCCATAAGATTTTAAAGGGTTATGTACTGTCTCTAGGAGATTTTTTACCCTACTTGTTCACTTTAGAACCTAATTTCTGAATTATGGTTGTACTGGATGACTTTCACATGAACTACTCCAGTAATCTGTCTTTAAGGGATTTAGGGGAGTGGAAAGGAAAGGGAAAGATATATTAAAGGAGAAGGCAGAATTAACTACTTGGGAAATCAAATTACTTCTGGGTAGAGACAGGGCAGGAAAGGCAACATTAACAATTATTCAGTCCTGACTGGTGTGGCTCAGTTGGATGGGCATCGTCCCACAAAGCAAAAGGTTACCAGTTTAATTCCCAGTCAGGGCACATGCCTGAGTTGCAGGTTTGGTCCCTGGTTGGGGCATGTATGAGAGGCAACTGCTGAATGTTTCTCTCTCACATCACATTGATGTTTTTCTCCCTCTTTTTCTCCCTCCCTTTCCCTATCTATAAAAAGAAATAAATAAAATCCTTATTAAAAAAACAACAATTATTTAGTGATTTTTTAAACCTCCCCCCCAAAAAAAAAAAATGACATAAATCTCTTTCACTGCCAAACCTGAAAATAAGTAAGAATACAAATCTGAAGAGTACCCTAAAACCTACCTATACTAGGCAGTTTTTAAAAAAATTATTTTCTAATCACCATGACTTCATCAACGCATTGGTTTTTTTTTAAGTTACTTTTAATTTCCAAAACTACTACTAAAAAATGTTCTAAATTTACAACAGAATACACTGCAAAAACAACATATGGTAACTTGAAATTCAAAAGGGAATATATTTTAGAATATAAAAGTATCAGAGTAGTTCACTATTTTTATAGATAAGGAAACAAAAGCAAATGCATACTAAGTAATAAACAAATGAAATTATGACTACTATTAACTATGTGGTTTAAATCTTTGACTACATTCCACTTTCAGAGCCATGTGATAGTAACTTTTGCCTAGAAAATAGAATCAGCCCTGGCTGGTATGGCTCAGTGGATTGAGTACCAGCCTGCTAACCAAAATGTCGCTGGTTCGATTCCTGGTCAGGGCACATGCCTGGGTTGTGGGCTGGATCCCCAGTTGGGCGGGGGGGTGGGGGGAGGTGTGTGAGACAACCAGTCAAGGGTATCTCTCACACATTGATGTTCTTGGCCTCTCTTTCTCCCTCTCTTCTGCTCACTCTAAAAAGTAAAATAATCTTTAAAAAAAGAGAAAATAAAATCAGAACTATAATTTTTAAAAATACACTGTAAAAATTAAAACATAATTCTTTGTTAATGTTTAAAAAAGTAAACACTTTCTTATAATATGATAATCATATTCAAAATATACATAGGGGTGTTTCTACATAATTTCAATTTTTTTCCATCCAAAACAACAAAAATTAGATAGTGACTGTAATTATTCCATTATGATTTTGATATCTGTTTACTTCTCAGTTTAATAAAACTCTAGTAACTATAATTTTCATCAAAAATATATTTTGGACAGTATCTCACCTGGTCTCTTCATCATCCCAAGCGATTCGCATGCCTTTCCCACCACCACCTGCTGAGGCCTTGATCATGACAGGGTAACCTAACAGCAGGGAAGAATCAGACAGAAGTTCAAACTTTGATCACTTGGATGCATGAACATGACAACTGACCACATGTTCAATAACGCAGAAGGCAATAACTAATTTATTTAAAGTCCCTGTATTTAGAGTCAAGGAAATAACACCAGTGTAATGTTATTGTATATATTTTTTAAAATAAGAGTGTATTCTTAAAAAAAAAAAAAAAAGACTACCCAAGGAACATGTATAAAGGACCCATGGACAAAGTCAAAGTGGGGAAGGATTGGGGGAGGGGGACAGGGGAAAGTGGTGGCGGGAAAATGGAGACAAATGTATTTGAACAATAAAAATATAGAAAATAAAATAAAATAATTTATAAAATAAAAAATAAAAAAGACTATCAATAAATGTAACATTTTCCCCACTAATAAAATAAAAAGCTTAGAAAACATAAAATATTTGACAATGAATTCCAAAAATGGGAGTAAACACAGTAGCAATTTATAGCATTAAGGAAACACACACATACATATATGTACAGTCTTATAATTCCCCCCCAGCTGCCGTTTGTATGCATATCAAACTAAATTCCTTTGTTTCAAAAATAATGATTTATAGGTACTTGAGGTATTTTTATCAAGGAAATCACAAGAAACCCCTGCAGCTTTTACCTGAAAGAACTGACATCATAGTTTTGGCAAAAATCAACCCTGAGTATTATATTATCCACTGAAGCAGAAGTTCCAGGGCTTGCTATTATCAATGGAGAAGTTACTGCCCTAATTCCATTCATTCAACAGGGAATGCTTAATCTAGTGTAGTAATTATAAAATTACAACATAAGGCCAGAAACAAAGGACATTTCAAGGTACAGTTTTATAAGAGAAAATAAAATCATAAAATTGTTAGTAGGACTTGATATTTCAGTTATTACAAAGTAAAATTTTTGACTACATGAGTCATCTACAAAAATTTATCAAGAAAAGCTGTAAATTCTGTTTAGAGGTTTTCTGAAAAACAAAGTAGAGATACTCATATCTGAGAACACTTGTTTATGATTATTTCTAAAAAAAGAAAAGGTCAGTAGTGAGCCTTTAAAGGACTCTTCCTGGCCTGTGAAGCTCTAAGAGCACTGAACTCTCACTATAGGATCTTAGAGGAAAAGGGAAGGGAAACGCCAAAGGTCAAACACCTTTGACCTCTAAACCACAAAATAGCACACTTAACTTCAACTTAGTTAAAAAGGCACTTGCTTACTGTTTCATAATTAATTTAATTTTTAAAATTCTGATATTGGTTATATTTATTGGGATAGACTTATGTGGGGAAGCATTTTAAAAGCAATGCTAAGTACAGTGAGAAGAATTATTAACATAGTGTTTCACATTGAGAGCCTTATAATCCAGGGAGAGGGACATTACCCAAATAATTTTATCATTGGGAATTCAGAAAAGAAAAGAATTATAGGAAGGTAAGAGAAAAGGAATTAGGAAAAGCATATTCTAGAAAGGGACATTTATATGAGGCTATGAAGGATAAGCAGGATTCAAACATTTTAGATGGGAAAAGCAGAAACAGAGCAGATTCAGGAAAAGCATGGGACAACTAACTGTAAGAACTGAAACAATTAAGTTGAAGTACAGAGAATCTGTAGGATAACAGAAGAAAAGGGACCTGAAAACGTAAATTGGGGGGCAAAGAATGCTACATACATGTGCATGCTATATATCCTGCATAAAGAGACAATAATAATATTTTCCTCATTCCATGCTGCAGCCTTATAATGAGTATCATCAAAAAGAATTAGACTGAAATCAGTAAAGAAAAATTAGTCTGTTTTTGAGCAGTGAAGAAAACAGTATCTAAAAATTAGAAACAGGCATGCCTAAAAAACCTCTCCCAACTGAAGGTCTTTTTTAAAACCAATGTATTCATAGCCACAAAACAACATATTATAAATTCAGCACCAAAAAATATTTATCCATGTAAATAGGAAATCATAAGATATATGATACCTATATCCCATACCTCTGCTATTTTCAGCTCCCTGTGAGAATTAGAAAATTTGCTGTTACAGTGGAACCATGCTTCTAGAATGTAATTCATTCCAGAAGGCTGTTCCAGAAGTGATATGTTCAAAAAAGAATCTGCTTTATCACCTGAGAGATGAGGTGTGTGACTGCTAATACAGGTATCAGCATGAAAGCATTTTTAGGTTGAGAACTGAAGTTCTGTTCGACAACTGAGACATTTTTTCCATGAATGACTTGGTTGAGAACCAAATTGTTCAAGATGGCAGATGTTCAAGAACCAAGGTTTGACTTTTGATTTAAGCATTAATCTCATCTTAGTCATTTACTATGGAACTTGGACTATATAGTGATTAGTGAGGTTCAAAATAAGAATGGGAAATTGTCCTCAGTCACAGAGAATTTAGATGGGGAAACAAAACACAAAAAATAATTTGATAGCAAGAAATTACTGTATGTTCTTGCTCACACAGACCATTCCCCTGAGTGGCAGCAACATGAAAGGACACAATAGTCCTGCCCCCACCCCCCGCAGGAGGCTCTGTCATGGCCCAGTGGTGTGCAAGCATGACTGCTGAGCACAAAATGGCAGTCACAGATGGCAGATCCCTGACTAAAGGAGACACAGAGTGGTCTAGAGATGCTTGAGGAAAGTCTAGAGACAGATGCTTTGGGGAGAGAATTGAGTGAGTAGCCAGTGGGATCCTGGTGCTGACTCCTCCCCCATATGGCAGCAACCATCTTGCTCAAGCAGAATGCCCCCCTTCAACAGCAGCAGTATGAAAGGACACAAAAACCCCACCCCCGAAAGAGAAATCTGCCCCGCCCTATGGTGCCTAAGCCTGACTGCTGATTGCAGAGTGACTAGATTAACAGCTGAAGGAGACAGCCACAGACAGGAGATTCCTGGAAGTCTCAAACAGACTCCCTAAGCTCAGACGAGGTAAAGAGCTGACATCATCAGAGGCAGATCCAGAAAGGAAAAACAGCAGTCTCCTACCATAAAATTTCACATCACAAAGTCAGAAATCAAGACAGATCAGCTTGAGAAGCAGAAAACTAAAAAGAAGAGTCTCACAAATAATGGGAACGAAAGAAAACACCTCCCATCAAAGAGAAAGGAGGAATCCCCAGAAAGAGAACTAAAGGAAATAGAGGCAAATAAACTGTCAGATACTGAGATCAAAACAATGATTCTAAGGAAGCTCAGTGAGCTCAAAGAGAATTACCAAAAACTACAGGGAAATTATGAGGAGCTTATTGCAAATTATCAGCATAAAAAAAGACATGGAAACTACCAATAAAAGGCAAGAGGAAATGAAGAATACAATTTCTGAATCGAAGAACACAGGAGAAGGAATCAAAAGTAGGCTAGATGAAGCAAAGGATCAAATTAGCAAGCAGGAGGATAAGGTAGATAAAAGCTCCCAGAAAGAGCAAGAAAATGAAAAAAGACTCAAAAAGAATGAAGAGGCATGAAGGGAAATGCAGGACAACCTGAAACATAATAACATCCATATAATAGGGAAACCAGAAGGAGAAGAGGAATAGGAAGGGATAGAGAACCTGTTTGAAAAAGCAATGATGGAAAACTTCTCTAATTGGAGGAGAGAAACACTCACACAAGTCCAGGAAACACAGAGGGTCCCATTCAAGAGGAATCCAAAGAGGCTGACTCAAAGACACATCATCATCAAAATAGCAAATATCAAAGACAAAGAGAGGATCTTAAAGTTCACAAGGGACATACAGGAAGTAACATATAAGGGTTCTCCTAAAAGGCTAGCAGCTGACTTCTCAACAGAAACACAAGCCAATTTGGAATGGCAAGAAATGTTCCAAGCAATGAAAGCCAAAGACCTGTAACCAACACTAAAGTACCCAGCAATGTTCTCAATTAAAATGGAAGGCAAAATAAGGAGTTTCCCAGACAAAAGAAGGTTAAAAGAAGACACTTCCACCAAACCAGCATCACAGGATATGCTAATGGGACTGATGTAAGAAGATGAAGAAAAAAGATTGAGAAAGGAACACAGGTACAAAGGGGGGAAAAGGCAATGAATAAATATCAATAATAACCTTAAATATGAGTGGATTAAATGCTCCAATCAAAAGACACAGGGTAGCTGAATGGATAAGAAAACATGGCCCACTCATATGCTGCCTACAAGAGACCCACCTCAGAACAAAGGACCTACACAGACTGAAAGTGAAGGGTTAGAAAAAAATATATTCCTAGGAAATGGACATGAAAAAAAAGAAGCTGGGGTAACAACACTTATATTAGACAAAATAGATTTCAAAACAAAAGCCATAAAAAAGAGACCCAGAAGGACACTTCATAATACTCAAAAGGTAGTATCCATCAAGAAGACATAAACATTGTAACCTACATGCCGCCACATAAGAGCACCCAAATATATAAGGAAAATCTTGGAGGACTTCAAGAAAGATGTAAACAGCAACACCCTGACAGTAGGAGATTTTAACATCCCACTGTCAACAAAGGATAGATCTTCCACCAAATTATCGACAAGGATACTGTGGCACTGAACTATGCACTAGATCAAAAGGACTTAACTGATATATCCAGAAACTTTCATCTCAAAGAAACAAAATACACATTCTTTTCAAATGCACATGGAACATTTTCAAAGATAGACCACATGATAGGACACAAAACAAGACTCAACAAATACAAGAAAATTGAAATCATATCAAGCATTTCCTCAGACCACAAGGCTTGAAACGAGAAACCAAACTCAAGGAAAAAAACTCAAAAACATTCAAATTCATGGAGGCTGAATAGCATTCTATTAAAGAATGAATGGGTCAATAATGAGAACAAAGAAGAAATCAAAAAGTTTTTGGAAATAAATGAAAATGAACACACAACACTCCAAAACCTATGAAACACAGCGAAGGAAGTCCTGAGAGAGAAGTTCACAGCAATAAAGGCCAACCTAAAAAAGATAGAAACATTTCAAATA